GCTTCCCTGCAGATCCCTCGTCCACCATAGTAATAAGCTCCAATGAAAAGTATTTGATGGCTCGTTTGTTCTTCCTTTCTGAGATCTGACACCCTGTGCTACATGGAAGCTCACCATACGCTCTACCTTTGGACGGACATTCGTTCACATGAACTAGAGATACAGGCACCTGCGCTTTTAAAAATAAGACATCAGGTTCAGTTTACTCACAACTGAACTCCTAACTCAGCTTGAAGTTTGAATGCCCCACTACCCATAGCTTCAATGGCGAAGCACATAGCTGGTCTGATCTACTCGCGTTTAAACATGCACACAAAACTGGTTTAAACCGTTTGTCGCCATTCTTTAACATCACATGGTGAATGAAGTGTGAAGTGAAGATTCCTCACACTTCTCTGTACAATCCAAAACACTATGGTTACGCAAATTGACTTGCCCAAGTCATTCATGTGCGAGGCCACTAACGAACCCAAGGACGACGTCACGGTGACCGTAGCGTGACCTCAATATGCAGTCCAATATCTTGCCCGTGGTCCACTAACCTGCATGGACGTGTTACACGCGTGCAAAAGTACACCTTAACCCGCTGAATTAATGCCAAATTTTCGAAATGCTGTCTATCACGCCGTATATCCTGCTCATATGCCCCTTACCCGGTTATTGATCCTATAGCAGAAATATGGCCCTGTGCAATAGCAACATTTTTCTTATCTCGATAAGCCCTATGAGCAAACGTTCGCACTCCTCAGAAGGAGTAATTTCACCCAACTAAAACTTGACCAAAATATGGCTTTAGAGAACCTTTTTCTCCTTCGCTCGAAAGAAGTGTGGATCGCACCCTCACCTTGCTATCTGTAGCTTGAACTAATGTCACATCAGCACAAGGTAACGCCAGTCGTGCGAACGTCGCCAGGTTTAGTGCGAAACCGTGAACTTTCATTGAAACAGATGCCAGTTATAATGGGTTCATCGTCATCATCATGGAATGCAACTTGCCTTCATCCCCGAATTTTCACCATACTGCAATCCTACCAGTTGTGCTTCATCGACCCATGGCTTAATGACTTTAGATCATGCCAATTTCAGCACGATCTCGCCCCTTTTCAGCAGTGCGAACACTCTCTACGACTATCTTGCTATCAGATGTGTAATAATAGTCATGTTTATTTCTAACTAGTGAGTGGCGTACATTTAGGCATGCTCAATGGTACAGTCAGAATAAGACTATGACTGGTGGAGCTTGTAGGTACTGAGAATCTCGTGGAAAAGAAACGGTGACACAAACAGTGGTCATTATCCGAAGTAAACTTGGTCAGACCTGAAGCGGCATGAAGTGGAAACCAAAATTACAAGAGCCCTTCACTTCTTATGGAAAACATATCAGATGAGACAAGATGCGATCCCCAATATTCGAAAATGGCGGGAAAAAGCAGTACGAGAGAAGGCAGAGCAAGAGTCTTCCCGCCTGGTATGTGAAAAAAACTCAAAGCTTCAGAAAATGTAGAATCAGAATAACGGATCTGGGGAGGCAGCAGAACTGTCACGATCTGACCGGCCAATCTGAACTTAAGCCGCCACTGCGTCGGCGCTCAGTATTCGCACATTAGAATGAAATATTCGGTAGCTATGACGTGTCCTGATGGAATGAAGCAGTTGGTCAACTGAGTTCAGAGTAACAGTACCAACTTTTGAGCCCCATTTAGACATCCCGGTGCCTCAGAAATGCCGAAAAATTATTCGACCGTTCTTTTCCGCCAGAGTTATGATTGCTGCAGTTGACAATGAAATTAGATGAGCCACAAAACTAGGAACTTGGTGTACGGTGGTTTTTGGTTTGAGCAAATAGGCTACAATGTGCAACGCTTTGGCGCCAAAAATTTTTCTCCATTCATAGAGGTTTTGCAACTAGAAATATTGCGCGACTAATGGTCATCCACTGTGGCTTCATGGGCCCGGGCTGTTAGGCGTATGGCCAGGGTCACGAAAAAGCGTAAGTGGGGATAGTTAAGTTAAGGGATATGCAGTACGGATAAATGGTAGAAGGAAAATAAGAACCACAGTATGAAGTGAAACTGGAGAGACTCACTAGTGCCACTTCTGGAGTGGAGTTAGAGGTATAAGCTCTTTGTGGGGCGTTCAAGCAAATACACAGGAAAGAACGCGAACTGCACGGGAAATGACTGACTTGGTGTGAAGTACAGTGGAAAAACGCCGAGATTTTTAAATCTAATGGAAGGTTAAGCATACTGTAATGAGCGGCTACCGGAAGTGCCTGGGGCCAGGTGAAGACTTCGGTTGTGGTTGCAAGTAAGGGAACGAGTGGGTGAGAGGGCGCAGCCAAAGTAGGAAGTGAACCATTTCTGGCATGCTATCAAGCTGAGTATGTCATCACTGTACTGACATACTTCAGTTTATAGACATCCCGTGGCTGACGTTTTGCTTGAGGTAGTTGGGCTGGGATGTGCGGTTCTGTGTGCAATGGGATGTTGCGGGTTTGCCAAGGGATTACGCAGAGAGCAAAACCAATGTGATATTGCAGGTAGTGTCATTTGTTCGGTCCGGGAATTCATCAGATGTAGTGCACTTGCAGCTGACACCATTATTTCCTATATTCTGGTTGGGCCATTTTGATTGCTTTTCGGTATATATATTAGTGTTGAATTCAGATACTTTGGTGTGAAAATTTTGAGAAATATAGACCAGTTCAAATATATGGTGGCCGGAGTCTTTCTCTGATACATAAGACGCACTTAGGTCTCTTGAGGACTTGCGGCTTTGTAGATTTGGTATTGCGCAGAGCATACTCGTCTGGTGATGAGAAGCGCCCGGCAAGTAGAGTTGCCCCACAAAATTGTGCCAAAATGTGCTCGTGTACCTGCGACGCCTTTACGAGTGGTATGCCCATCGCCTGTGTATGTCCATCTAAAACAAGCCTTAAACCCCGGGAATTCAGTAAGAGCACCGTTTTGTATATCTGTAGCTGCTGGCTTTTGTTTGTCCAGTTTCTGTCATTTATTTAAAGACTTGATAAAATACAGGCGAAGGAAATGTGACCCGTTGTCCATTTTAGAAAAAGGCATGGGCTAGTCTGCGGATACGTTACGATGCTCATAACTCACATCGATGCTCAAAGCTGATGCCACCTCCTCCTTAGTTAAGGTTGCGCCAAAACAACTTTGCTTCCTTAGCCAAATGTGTCACACATGCCCTTCCACCACTTCTAGGGAATGGTCACACAAAAACACACAGGCCTCATTATTTTCTCAATACCATGATGCACAGCTGCCTTGCTTCTAAAAGAGCCACTTATTGATCGAGGCCTGCGGCTGTCGCTTGGTGGCTGGTAACCCACACTCCCATTTTACTTTTTGCTTCACGTGAATATTTCCAAATAAACTGCAGTACTCAACCATTTTCTTTCATGTACTCTCTCCATCATTTCTTATTTGACCATTGTGCCTCTGTATTGTTATTGTCCTCTCGCATAACTAAATCTCTCCGATGAGAGCGTTTAACGAAGCCGAATTCTCACACCTCGACATGCGCAACGGATCACGTAACTAAATGTTTCTGGCCTCCTTGCAAGTTTCTACATCAGCCATCTCTCCGTGGTGCCAAAAGTATGTAATTACTCTCACCCTGAACCTGCGCCTATATACTTCTGGTGCCCAGTGCAAAACATGAGATAAAATTTGAACCTCTAATGCAGGTGACTCTCGTTACTATGTGCATCACATACTGTCCAAGCAAAAGCACAGCGCTGTTTGTTCTATACCTCATACTTTGCTGGTCACAAAACCCGATTCTATATCTGTCTTGAATCATTTGTCTGCTCTTTGCCATCACCCTTCGGATTTTTCTACCAATAACTCCCAAGTAATTCGATACATCTCCGCATTCGTTGGGCTCTCTGATCTCGTCCCATTGCCGCATTTTCCGAAACTTCGTTTTTTAGGAGAGATCGCTCCAAACACAACGTTTGATTGCCATCCACTTCTACTGGTCTCTACTTTATATCGTTATGGAGCCTATTGAGTTGAAAGTTATTTGCGATCCTAAGATAGCTTGATTTTACCTGTACCCATCCCATTAACCAGTCCACATATTGCTGCCCACGAAAATGTGCATCCTCTGTTGGACCACCCCACGCAATACATCTGTTACGGAAATGTCAAAAAAGCAGACGTATGTCAGTGCAAAGGCGGTACAGTAGTGCCATACCCCGTCAAATAGCACAGCCTTGGCTATTCTTCGCATTCTCTCTACAATTACATCCCTCCCCCTCGAACATCTGTTCGCAACTGCGAACAAACTGCCTGCAAATTGCCAGCAGTCACTGATGCTGGTTTGTTCTAATCCGCTAAATGTATTTGGACTTGCTTCACTTACTGTTTGTACTGCCCGAATTCAGCAATTTTACTTCTGAAAGTCTTCGAACCTTTGCAATAGCACTGCCAATTTATTCCAACTAACTAGTTTCCTACGGCATAATTGGTGGACCTCTCAATTTTCAATGCATGCAATACATCAAGGACGCAGATTGCCGCTTTTCCACATCTCGAATTTTTTCACTTCCTCTACCGCTACGCTATTCGTCACATTGGTGGGTGATCCAACCGCACAAGGTTACTCGTATTAAGTGGACTTCAACTGTTGTTCAAATCAGCCGGTTAATCAATGGAATATTCCAACGCCCTGTCCCGCTTTAGTTTTCCACGACTTACAACACGTGAAAAGTATGTTTCCCTCGTCTTTTTTCTTCGCAATGCTTAAGTTTTAGCAAACTTGTCATGCTTTACTCTAAAAACTCCTTAAAAATTGTTTTTAAGACTACAAGCGAACAAACTTACAGGTAGCCAAGTTTAAGGAAAAAACAGTCGAAAAGTTTTCAAAGAAGTCAATCAGCCAATCTCCGTGTCGAACAATAACCAGTCCTCACTGTTGTGGTGTGTCAGTTCCGTTTACTGCTCATCCTACAGCAAATGAACGGCTCAAACTCGAATGCCACCTATTTGAAAGAAAGCAGTACAGGCAGGAGTCAAATGCTTGAGCAGTGAAAAAACAAGGACACAAAGCTGAAGCCATGGCGTTCCTAAAAAATCAGGAAACGGACACATTTCTGATTAGGTTATCTATGCTATGCGGGACAACCAAACGCAGCACAAAGAGGCCGACCAGCTTACATCTTGATTCTCCATTAAAATAAGACAAAGATATCGGTGGAGTGTTATAGGGGGCATCAGAAACGATACAATTCTTTGATAGGGGAAAAACGAACGTCTACCATAGTTATGTTACCGACCCCAGTTGATTAAAAAAGACAGAGTAAGGATGGATTTGCACTCAGTAGTGTAGTCATCAAAGCCAAGCTAAGATTGCCAACATAACTATACTACCTGAGACAAGACAGTTCACTGTATGCAGGCTAAAAGGAGCGTGGTGAGTGTAATCAACCATGTAACGACTGGCGGGGGTGTAAATTCTGATATGGTGGACTAGGTTTCCTGAAGGTTATTAGTGAGTTGGACGATACTAAGCAATCTAGGATGGAAGGTGTGTGTAAGGAAGACGGTCACCAGTCCCCGAAGCACTACTTTCAGCTTTAATCGATGCGTGGTGAGTGACGAAGAAGACTTCCGATGCTAGCCTCGCCTGCTGATAGTGGAGAGTCTGGAGTCTCATTGTATGCTTATATGTTGTACGTGTCCACTCCTGGGAGCAGCAAGTTGGCGTGTCTTTTGTTTGGTTGACGAGGTGAGTTTTGATGCGATGTAGCCTCGATATTGACGAAGGCAGCTACAGCTATGCGCGTCGACGTAGGCCATGGGCATCGCAGATTTTCTTCCGGCTATCCCAGGTATATTGTTCTTTAATACTTTCGGAAGGGCGAAATGCCAGCTTTTGTTTTTGTTCTTTATGGCGCTGCCAAAGAACTCAACCGAGGACAAAACCAACTGCAATAATCAGAAGACAGCAGTTCTTGTCCGCCAGATCATCCAACAGCAAAGATCCACCTTTTCAACGTTTAATTAAATTTGCTGCCGCCAACTTATCTAATGCCTCACAGCACCCATTGCGTGGTAATGCTCTCATCTTGTTCCTTCATCATCCCGCTGCTTTCCAAGCTTCTGAATTCCGCAGCAGCTTCTGTACACGCCACGTATGGCCGTCATGCATTAAATCTAGATAGTCCAAGGCCTACACTCATGGTGCTCCGACTAAGCAGAAATTATCTTCGACTCTACATCGGCCTGGCTCTAACTTGTTAGTCATTTTTTCTAATACCAATCCAACCAACATAGGAATGCTCATCCTCTTTCCGATTGTTGCATCCTTGATGTCCATTACGGGACTGTCCATTGGCGAAAGTATGTCAGTGCAATGATGGTACGGTGCTACGATATCCAGTCTGGTGGCACCTCCGCAGCTATTTTCTCCCTACCCTCGACCGTCAGCACAGGCATGTAAATTCAACTACGAAAACAATTCCCCACCCCAACCACTTCTAGGACAAATTCGTTCTACTCCGCTAAACGTTTCTTTGGATTTAACCTTTTTGGTTTTCCGCTGCAAGTTTGGTTAACCCACTTCACCAGTTCAGGCTCATTTACGGTAATCATTTGGTCCTGTGCGTGAGCACCATCCCACCATCGAAACTGTCCTTCAAACCTGACTTTCCAACAATAACGACACCACTGAGTTTACTTAGATTCAATATGAAGCCTATTTTTTTTTGAACCTTGCTATTTGCCTCCGTTTCGAATTCTTAATAATAATAATAATAATAATAATGTTTATTCCCAACTTGTAGGTGGCATGCCGTCTGGCATGATCATGCCAACTGATCATTCCAACTGCATCTCAATTTTTGCCTTTCGTAGCTTCATCAGCTCAACGCCGCCCATGGCCAGCAATGATTCACTTTTAGCTCATGTCTATCATCTTCATTAATGGACTAGTCGTGCCTCATGTTCCGTTGTTCCAGCCCTTTGTTTCCAACAACTTCATTGAATTTCTTTTAAGTAGTGGGTGTTTCCAGTTGGCTATATTTTCCTCACCGTTTTGTCGTTGCTTGTCGCATTTGTGTTACAACGACACGATTGTGCCTTAATCGGCATGTTTCCTTCAAGCTGGGAAATGAACTTATTATTATCGTTTTATTATGTGGCGTTCGGTTCCTCAGGTTCCGCACTTTGGGGTTTTATCATTATGTGTCAAATGGGCTGCGTTAGTTTTCCCTTCGACCGTTTGCTGTTACTCACCATTCAAAATTCTAACGGTCTCTTCTTGCTTCAGCATGATACGTTCCCCAAAAGGTGAGAAAAACGCTATCATTTTCTCCTCCGCCTTTGATATCTACCCTGTTTAGATTGTGCCGGTTTAGACATGAACCCATCTACGCCCGGTTGCTCTCACTATGTGTGACTGCCCTGTCCATGATTACTCTCTATTTACACCATATTCTGATTTTATAACCTGTCTTGCCTGACAGTATGCCACTAACTGGCTGGAAATAAGCATTGTTATTACTATTACTGGTTAAAGAGCCGGTACTCTCGGTATCGTGCCTGAGAAAGACGACGCAGTTATGCGCCAGCAGCGACTTTCGCTGATGCAAACGATAGAGCCAAAAGTGACATCGTTAAGTGCCCGGGAGTGGAAGTGTCGAAGTCCCCAACATAATGGCAAAATTATGTGGAATTTTAAGGTGATGAGCGGTTTGTTTGGCTGTAGGAGAAGAACTGACGCTAGATCATCGAGAATCTGAAGAAGTATCAAACTTGAGTTACTGAGAAGCTGGTCAATGTTCAACGCCATCCTATGGAGAAATTGGAGATACCGTTTCAACTTCAGAATTCCTAGAGGCATCCAGAGGCTCCGCTTGGGTTGAAAATGATAGCATGT